TCTCATTGTTACATTCTGGCATTATGCTCACCTTGCCCCTGTCAACCTGCAGCATATGCTTTCCTGTATTCAGGCAAATACTTAGCCAGCTCAGGGGCCCTGCAATTGTACATCACCACAGCATGTGTTTCGTGGATATGTCACGCATTGAGTGACTGTGTAAGATTGTACGCATGTGCAAAGTTCCCTTTTTTAGCAAGGCCTGTCCTTTTCCTAATAAACTTCCACATAGGTTTGCCTTTACCAAACAACAGTAGTCATCCCTTCTATTTATTGTTTGTTGATGATATCTGACAAAATAAGGACTTTTTTCACCATGAATTGATTACTGTTTTTCTGAAAGGACCATGAATGAAGTACACGCTTGAAGGGCTCTGGGTCATCAGTTTCTGTTATTCTGTTGGTATGGAAGCAAAAGCAGCCAGAAGCTATACATCAGCAAATACGCATATAATGTGTTTAAATAGAACATCATCTACCAAAAAAGGCAGGGTTTGGGGTCATTGCTTACAAACCTCTGTTTTAAAACAAATAGCATCCGTAATTAAATGGCCACAGGCTAATTGTTTATTAAGTTATTGTAAGGATCAAATATCAGTGAATCTGGGGATATTTGTCACCTGATAAATAATATTTTGATAACTGATCCTTCATTAAGTTCTTATCAAGAATTACAACAATGGAATAATCCAGATATTCATGTCATCTAGTGGAGTCTGAACAATGCGAGTTGTATAAAGTTATTCTTGGCATTATTTTAGAGAATTTTTCTTCACTGACCATAAAATCTGTGAAATGATTTGCTCTTTATTAAGTAATTATTAAGAGTTTACTTTATGCAAAGCTTTGTTTTCACACTAAATGCAAATTCCATTATATTCACAATTTTTACTGTACTGTGAAATGCTTTAAGTGACTTGAAGTGGACTGCTTATGCCATGCCGTTTTACTAAGTGTCTTAGCAAGTATCTCAGTGTTCATCATTATTCTGCCCAATTTGCTTCAGTCTCTAAAGAGGTTCCCACCACATTGCTTTGGTCACAGATTTATGATGACCACCACACACTCTGGCCTTGTGGCTTACGTAATCAGGGACATCATGTGTTGCTGTCATTTGTGGTTTGCTTTGTGCTCTTGGAGATCCCCATCATATGTTAATTTTTTGACAAGTTGAGAATTTTCAGCTAATGTCCAAAGACCATTAGTATAACACATATTTCTGTACTGTGAACTTGACCATTAATTTTCATTGTGAACTTGATTGTATCTGGAATTAACTGGGTGTGTCTTTGAGGGTGATTTCAGAGAGGTTTGCCTGAGACTGAAATGCTGGTAGCACCATCCCATGGGCTGGCTCACAAACTGAATAAATAGGAGTAAAGGAACTGGGCACCAGCATTCATCTCTCTCTGCTTCCTGGCTGCAGATTTGATATAACCAACTGCCTCATGCTCCCGCCACCATGACTTCGCCAGCATGATGGACCCTCAAAACAATGAGTTAAAAATAAACCCTGCTTCCTGAAATTGCTTTTGGGAAGGCATTTGTTGGGTCATAGCAATGACAAAAGAAGCTAGTACACATGTGAGGGTGGCAGTTATGTTTTAAGTTTAAATTACTGTGCTTAAGAGAGCTATAAAACAAAAAATGCCTCTAACCTGTAAACTCCACTACCCAAGGACAGATAACTTCCTAGAATACTGGGGGCTGTTGTTCATGTAAGATAACATACCATGTGTTTAAACAAGTGTGGTTGCACCAACTGCAAAAGCTATGTGCTTGATCACATGTAGACAGGAGGTACATAGGCAGGAAAAATGTCAAGATGTATGCTTGCCCCTGATTGGACAAGGCGGGAAGTACGTAGCCTTGTGGGATTTGCCCTTATAAGAACCAGAATAGCATTAATTTGTTGCCATTCTCTGGGAATCCCAGGTGTGGACCTGGCCAGTGTCCATCTTCCTAGCCAGTATTTAATAAAGCTTGCTTCAAAGCTGGGTGGTGGTGGTGCATGCTTTTAATGTCAGCACTGGAGAGGCAAAGGCAGGTGGATCTCTGTGAGTTCCAGGCCAGCCTTGTCTACAGAGTGAGTTCCAGGACAGCCAGGGCTACATAGAGAAGTCCTGTCTCAAAAAAAAAAAGAAAAGAAAGAGAGGAAGAAAAAGAAAAAAGAAACTTGCTTCAAATCACACCCTCCAGGACCAGCCGTATCCTGACCAACCATTGGTGAGTCAAGTACAATCACTTGATGATTGTTGGGAATTGAGGAGGGAAGGATTGTCAGGCTTACGTAGGGCCGAGCCAGGCAGAAATTAATTTGGCTCCAGCCTCATGGCTCCCTGTGATATTTCCCTGTAAATAACAGTTAGGGAGCCAGAGGCATGTTTTTCCCCTTCTGATAACTTAAATGGAATAAGAAAGTTGAAGTTCAGTGATGTTTTTCCACCTCACAATGAGATTAGGTGGTGGAGCTTATCCTTAAATTTATGTCTTTTCTCCTCGTTGGTGACTTGACCGCTCTCTGTTTTTTAAACCTATCTGTTGAGAGCTGGAGTGATGGTTCAGTGGTTAAAAGCACTTGTTCTTGCAGGAGACCCAGGTTCAATTTCTAGTATCCACATGGCAGTTAACAACTATCTCTAACTCCAACTCCAGGGCATCCAACACCCTTTTCTGGCCTCCTTGGGCACCAGGCACACATGAACTACACATACATACATGCAAGTAAAAGACTCATAAAATAAAATCTAAAAATCCATTTTTAAAATTGGATGAGCAGAGTGACTCATTTACCTGTGTTGTCGAAACACTTGGATTGTTTTCTGTCTTAGTCATCGGGGGAGTTTGGAGAGTGTGTGGTACGATGATGTGATTGAAATGACAAGATGGGGAATTGAATGCTAAGAACATTTTATAAAATCTAGCTGTTTGTGAGCCCTTTCAGAAACTTGATTTAAAAAAAAACTAGAAGGAAGAAGCCATCAGCAATGTGGGCGGGCACAGAGGAAAAATGCAAGCATTCAGCAAGAGAGGAATGACTGGACCAGTAGCAGGAAGTGTTGGAGCAAGGATAGTTAGTAGCAGCAGAATCGGACTACTTCTGAAATCCAAGGGAAAACCTAAGTAAACCTTCTGGATTTCTTGCTTTCAGCTACCTGTGTTTAGTTGACTATAAAACTCACTAATTCTGGAGGCTGTACAGCCCAGTATGTTATTATTCCCCTGCTAACTCTGCTGTACCTGACATTTCTGACCTGTGGGTCATAGTTGTAACAATTGCCTAGTACACTTCTCAGGGATTTAAAGGCTGCCTATGTTATACCGTCCAAGTAGTCCCCTGGGCCTGTGCAGAAGTCTGATGTGTGTGACCTTTTGATGTGTAGGGTGTATATGAAAACTCCACCCATGTATCTTGTTAATATCACAGGTCTTGCTAATATTGTTGTTTTATGAACAAGTGTTCCATGGGTAGCCATGAAGATTAATTGCATATCCATAGAACATCGACTGTGTCTCCTCTGATCACCTTTCAGTCTACTGCTCTATCCCATAAATATCCTCGTGCTCTCTCCTCTGGAAGGCAGGTTTGAGGTTTAGGTCTAACCCTTCCAAATTTCACTACCACTTTGTGAATACACTCTTTCTCTTTTTGCAAAATTCATTGATTTTGGGTGAAAGATGCTTTATGGAACTGCTCTGGGAACAATCTCACAGTTAGGAAGAAAGTAGAGAGAGAGAGAGAGAGAGAGAGAGAGAGAGAGAGAGAGAGAGAGAGAGAGAGAGAGAGAGAGAGAGAGAGAGAGAGAAAGAGAGAGAGTGTGTGTGTAAAGAGAGGATGGAGGGAAGGAGGGGAAGGAAGGAAGGAAGAAAGAAAGGAAGGAGACAAAAAAAATCAAAGACTAGAAATAAAGCCAGAAAGTATTGAAAGACCCCAATCTACAAGCTTCAGACAACTTAAATAAACAAAGGGAGAACCCGGGAACTGTTTAACAAATTCGAAGAGGAAGGGCAGGGATCTAGGCCAAGATCCAAGAATACCAGCACAGGGTTATATTTCTTTATCATCATCTTTCTCTTCATGACTGCCCTGCTCCAGGGTGGTCTGACCTGAGTGAGAAACTTGGATAACATGCTTATGACCAGGAAATTCTCCAGTCCTAAAAGGGTTATGGTAGACTGGAAAGACAGATATGAACACAATTATTTCCACAATGGTGTTGTAACTGTTGGAATAAAATGTGTCTTATCTATGCACATTGTTATGTTGTTTGATAATTAATACTACTGATGCTATTTAATTCCCTCTGATGGGCCAAAATTTCAGTAAAGTCTGTGCCACTGGGAAATTATATGTAGGGGCACTTTAGGCACAGAAAAGCAAAAACAGTCCTTGAGCTCCCTTCCTGGGCAGCTGTGGGAACGAGGAGAAGGCATGCAGATGAACACATGCAGAAACACGAGGGGCCATAGTCTTTCAGAGCAATCGTGAACACTCAAAAGATGTGAAGAACAGGGGCTGGAGAAAGGTTCAGCAGTTAACAACACTGACTGTTTTTCCAGAGGACCTGAGTTCAAGTCCCAGCACCCACAGGGTGGCTTACAAGCAATTATAACTCCAGTCCTAGGGGACCTGGTGCTCTCTTTTGGCTTTCAATGGCACAACATGCACATGCAAGAGCAAAACTTGCGTGTGTGCATTTTGTTTGTTTAATCCCAAGTGGTGGGGAGATGTTAGCATTGTTAGGCTCCTCTCCATGAACGGATGATGGTCAGGTTCCATGTATTGACACTCTACAGGAGGATTCCCAGCATTTCTATGTTACCCTTGTTAAAATGACAACCCTGCTGGGAGCTAGGCCTTGGTTTCCTAAAACTGAGATATAGTTTTAGTCTATTTGTCTGCTCCCTGAACCTCCCATTTCTAGATTTCCTTTTGTCTTGAAAATATTTCCCATTAGCATGAAATGTAGAGGCATAGCATAATAAACAACACCAAGTTCTATGACTTGAATAATGGTGTTTATTTCCTTTAAATACATTTAAATACAAAACATTAGGCAGTGGTTCAGTAAACTTGAAAAGTACAAGCTGAACAGGAATTACATCAGTGCTGATCATACAAATGAAGTTCCGCATTAAGAAAGAACCAGAATAATTCATAAGCATTGAACTTGGACTTCGCCAGTCTGAGTACTCAATCACGTGGCACCTGCTACTCGGTGGCAAGCAACCCTTTCTCATTTTATCACAGCAGTGGGCTCCCCAGACTCCTTCCTCTCTGAGCGCTGGTGTGCAGAGGCATCTGAAACTAGAAGTAATTGTCAGCGAACCAGGGAATCACCCAGCAGCTATTGAGTGGAAATGTGAATTCACCATGGCACTAGGTAAAATCAATTTTTCTAACAGCTTGGGGGTGGGCAACAGTGACAGCAACTTGACAAAGCAGCGCACTGTTTAAAATGACAGGGATTGGAAACTAGAGAGAAAGTTGAATCAAGGACTCTCTTGGCTGTGGTGCCCCTGGGCCCTTCTCTCATTTGGAAAGCAGCAGTGCTTTCCACAGATTGGCTGTCTACTCGCACATGTTCTGGTGTGAAAGGGACATCTGTCCTCACAGCTGTCGAAAAAGAAAGTGAAGATGAGAATTTCGAAGCAAGGATCAACTTCAAATCAATCATTCAGTTATGATTTCACTTGATTCTGCTTTCAAAGAAGAAATTTCAGACATATATTTAAAGTGTCAATGTAATATTCTGAATGGGCACTCAACCGGCTGAGGGCTCAGCCCTAACCAAGATGTTGATACCACCTCCTCTAAATCTCAGGACACATAGCAGAAGAGGGGCTGGGAAGATGTCAGAAAGAGAGAAGGGATGGGAAATTCCATCTTCTAGGCACAATGCAGCCTTTGCAATGAGGAACTCACAAGAGCTGAGAGAATCTGCCTGGCCTAGGCCTACGCAAGGTGGAACTTGTCAACAGGCACTTATGTTGTTGTGAGGGGCTTATGGGGCCTGACCCCTCTGTAATGAACTGTGGGCTGCTGATAGAATCTGGGAGACAGGGAGTCACAGTCTTCCGTTGTGGACCTACTGGTGGGTGAGCAGAACAAGCTCTGACAGATAATTCCAAACCTGTGGTCACACAGATGACCCTGAGTGTGGGAAAGGGACTTGTAGGGAGGAAATGGGTTGACAACAGTAGGCTGGGGTTAGGAGAGTGTAGGGATGAAAGTAATTATAATGCATTTTATATGTGCATGAAATTGTCAAAGAACAAATTGAATTATTTTTAAAAAATCTCAGTGGTTAGTTTGGGTAGGTTTGGAAATTGATCAAAGCCTAGTCATCAGTCTCCAATGATTACAGTCATTCAGAAGTTTTTTGCCTACACAAATCTAGTGCTAGTCTCTTCATCAAGAACACACACACACACACACACACACACACACACACAGAGAGAGAGAGAGAGAGAGAGAGAGAGAGAGAGAGAGAGAGAGAGAGAGAGAGAATTAGCTTGCTGATATGAATATGAACCTCCCTTAACCTGGTTGTTTAAATGTCAGTGACTTCTCTTTTGCTTATAATAACATAATAGCAGGCGTGGTGGTACAAGTCTGTAATTCATGAGACCCTGTTTTGAAACAACAACAAAAGAATTAATCATCACTCTATATACTTTCAATTACTTTCTAGATGCCAAAACTTCTGCTTATTTTTAAGGGGGCGCTTGGGCAATGAGAAAAAGGAACCCCACCAAATTGGATTAATATGTCATTTAAATGTCACCAGTCAACCAACTTAAGGGGTAAGCGAAAAGACCATTGATCTGCAGGTATCTGGGTGAAAAATCTTGTGCTTCTGGCAACAGCTCTCCAGACTTTCTTTGCATTCAAAGCAACTGCAGTTTTCTGGGTGCTGAATGAGGTCTCCAGGACATGATGTTTTGCAGACACACTCACAACGCTCTTCATCAAACTTCATGTGTGGTTCACAGAGAGCTGGCTCCTGGAGGTAAGAGTGATCTAAACAGAAACAGGAAAGTGTTGGTTTGGTAGCTGAAGCCTAGAGGATGTGATGGTTCAAATTAATTGCAAATTCTACATCTTCCCAATAAAACTTGGATCCTCCCAATTTCCTTGCCTATAGATTGTTTTTTCTCTTTTTAAAAATTTTTAAATTAGAAACAACCTTGCTTCACATGTCAATCCCAGGTCCCTCTCCCTCCCATCCTCCCCCGACCCCCACCAACTCCCACAACCCCCTACCTAATCCCCACTCTGCTCCCCAGGCAAGGTGAGACCCTCCATGGGAAATCTCCAAAGTCTGTCATATCATCCAGTTGCCTATAGATTTTTGACCTTAATGTTTATCATACAGTGAGATTCATTTGCGATTTCACAACATAAACATAGAACTCATGTGTTTTCTTTGGTGTTTAATAAAAAGTACCATAAACTGAATACTTCTGACAGATTTTTATGTTGTTGACTGATAAGTTAAAGATATAAACATCTGTGCTGTAAAGATGGTTTAGGGAGTTCAGAGAAATCCCTGCTCTTGCAGAGGACCCAGGTTTGGTTCTCAACACCCACATGGCAACTTAAAACTGCAAACTGCCTCTAACTACAATTCCAGGAGGTCTGTTGCCCTCTTTTGGCCTGCACAGGCACTGCATGCAAACCGTATGCAGACATTGGAGGCAAAACACTCATATACATAAAGTTAAAATAAATAAACCTTTAACACACACACACACACACTTATGCAACCCGCCAGTAGTGACAAGACATGGGGTATGAATGTAATCCTCTCTAGTGTTTTAGAAGTGTGGGAACCAGAAGTAATAATGTTGTAGAAATATTTTCCTCAGAACTTTCCAGATAACCAATGATGCATTTCCTCATCTCAGATCACCACACTTATATGAAACATATGAAGGTGACAATGAACTGTGGTTCAACTCAATCAGTGAACTGAAATTCAGTGCAAAGGGAGTAAGTGACAAACTGGGGGTGTGACTCTGCTTGACATGAGAAGTTCTGGATTCAGTATCCAATGGTTCCTAAACTGGATGAGGTGACATATAACTGCTATCCTAGCACTCACTCCAGAGGTAAAGGCAGGAGGATCAAAACTTCAAGGTCATTCTCTACAACATATTGAGTTTAAGGCTAGGCTGGAGCACATAACAGTCTGTCTCAAACGAAAAGCAAAAGCAAACAAGTAGAGAAGGTGAAAACTTTGGAATAACTTTCACATTTTTATCTCAACATTGGTGAAGATGTTGGAAGAAAATGAGTATCTCTTCCCCAGACCAACTTCTTTTCCAGTTTGCCTCATTCAGGATTGTGTGGTCACTGTGTCCACTTGGTTCCTCGTCCATGCCCTCTCTTCCCCATCACACTGCCTCTGTCACAAGTCACTCAGTACCTTGCATTTCTTATGTTGGTGGCTGCCTCTCATGTCACAGCCACATTGTGTATCCCTTCAGTCTCACCCTCAGGTGACTAAAATGATCCCATCACCACTGATACTTTAAATGTCTTTTTTTTGAGACAGAGTTTCTCTTTGTAGTTCTGATTGTCCTGGAACTTGCCAGACAGGTCTTGAACTCATAGAGAATCACTTGTCTCTGCCTCTACCTCCCGAGTGCTGGGATTAAAGATGTAAGCCACCATGTCCAGCCATGCCTTAAATGACTTAAAGTTCTCCTTCACACACAAAATGCCAAATTTTATACCAGAATATACAAACATTAAAAGATCTCCCATGACTTTTACCTTAAAAACCTCCCATACTCATTCTCAACGCTTCCATCCTCCCTCTTTTCTCCCTCACCTCATGCCCAGATTGCAGTCTCTCATCATCCAGTCTCATGGTTTTGACTGCTCTTTAATTGATACATATTTAGAAATTACATAGACTGGATAGCCACAAAGACTCCATTCTTAATTTCATGAAGATGAAAAAGATGAGCCTCATATGCTTTAAGTCACTGAAGCAAATGTCAATTTAAGGCAAGACTAGGCTAGATTACTGAAAAACAGTCAGACTCTTAAAAGACGCAATGGGCACTAGGTGGCAGCAAAGATTCACAAGAAAGTGTCCTGCAGGCCCATCTTTATTCTTGGATAGAGTAGTTTAGGCGAACACAATCCTGAGGTGTTCAGCAGATTGTGTGGCAGAAGCAGAACATTATGTCCTTACAAACAAGTTAAAAGGAACAGAGACTGGATGCAGGATTACTAGGCCGAACAGCAACGGGTTGGTTGAGGTTGACACCCTGAAGTATTACATATTGATTTCCATCCCTAGGGAGGTTGATTCTGGGTTACCAATGCATTCTAACCTCGGTCTTGTTCCATTCACTACACTACTATTATTATGTTTTGTTCATTATAGCAATGATAGGAAATGAGTTGGACTTGTGTCAACCATATCCTTTTGGAGAATAAATGACTGTAGAACAGGAAATTAGCTCAACAGTTTTGTGTACAGAAAAGGTGTTTAGTGCACAGAAAGTAATGTGTCATCAGTTTAATAGGACCACTGGGGAAACAGATGGGAATGTAGGCACATGAGGATGTTATTCATACATGATGAAAACTAGAAGTAATTGGGATGCAATCCACCCTCCTTCCTTACTTCCATCATCACTGTTAGTTTCTGCAAAAGTTCCCCACTTCTTCTCCAACTCAGGTTAACTCATTTTCTTATGCACTGTTGCTAGGTTGATCTTTTTACATTTCCAACAGATGCTACCCCTCTCTTTCTTTAACCATTTGGGTGGTTTACATTTGTTCAGAAAATCACACCTAGGTTCTTCCAACACAAGCTTACTAAGTCCTTGCACTCCCATCTTAGGGGTACTCCCAGATTTGTCTCCTCATATGTGCATACCCATTTCTCTCAGTATGTTTTGTGTCCCTGTGATATTATTAATCTTTATTGTTGACTTTACTGTATTCTAGAATCACCCAGGATGGACACCTCTGGGTGTGCTTATGAGGACACTACCAGAGAGGTTTAACTGAGGAAGACCCACTGTAAATGTGAGCTGGGCACCCAGGCTGAATAAAAGGTGGGAAACGAACAGGAAGGGCTGGTGGGCAGGAGCATCTATCTCTGTCTGCTTCCTGGCTGTGGACACAATGTGATCAGCTCTCTCGTGCTCTTACTGCCATGCCATCCCCAGCATGGCAAATTGTTCTCTGTCAAAGCAAAAACCAAAATAAGCCCCTCCCTCCCTCCCTGCCTCTCTTCCACCCTTCCCTTCCTTCCATTGCTTTTGTCAGGCATTTTGTTACAGAAACAAGAAAAGTAACTAACACACCCCAATACCCTGCTATCGTTTTCCAACACCAGGTTTCTGCTTTGCTCTCTTACCCCAGTGCTGAGCTCTTACAGCCCCCTGCTCAGAACATATCTCTCCTTCCTTAGTAGATTTTCCATCCTCAGAACACGAGACCACCCAATGAGTCCTCCCCAGGAATTAACTTCCCTCAGAAAGAAGTCCCTTCACCCCAGGTTATACCTCCTTTCATAGTCTGGAGGACCCAACCTGCTTATTTTAGCTTCCGCCCCCACCAAGGGCGCTCCTTTGCTCCAACTCCAGGTAGATCTGGCTGATGAATTTTGAGTAACTGCATTGTGGCATGCTGCCTTGAATGTCACAACCTTTGATATATTGTGTCTGTATGCAATCTACATGTGTTATCTTTTAACTATATAACTTTAAAAATTGCCTCACATCCTAGTTTGAGTTCTCAGGGAAACATTTAGAAAGCTTCTGAGAACCAGAAAAACAGGACAACAGCAATTAACAATTAACAGCTTGCTATTTAGTTTCTACAACAGATTCCATGGGGCTGAATCTTTGCTATTTCTTGCTAGACCATAGTTTAAAACAATCAAGATTCACATTGTGTGATCCCCTGTGATATTTTTCAGTGGAACCAGGCCAAATGTTATGAGTAGCTAATAAAAAACTAATGCATGTTCAACCATATATTCATCCCAGGACTCACAGCTTTACAGAGTGGGGAACAGAATGACAGGCTAGCAATTTGCAGTGTGGCTTAGACCAGTATCATGATTTGTTCTGGCTCTACAAAAGTATTTCCCTGTGTTCCTCTTCCATCATTTATCCCCCTGCCCCAATTATTGGTTTCATTTCAAGTAGTGCAGTTGGAAGAAACCAAGTCCCAAAAGATCTTGTGTGCTTCATCCTGAAGACGTTTTCATTAATGTCTGCTTTTAAAAGCATGCTTTGGGATGCTTTGGCCACTTAGTACTTTTCTTTACGAATGAACAGCAGAATGATTCATTGGTGGATATGGTCACAACAGTTAAGGTTCTGTAATTCAAATGCTTCTGTCACTGTTATCTATGTGATTGTGAGGAAATTACTAGATATCTTGGGGAGGACACTGTGTTTGTGAAAAGAGGCAATCATAGGGTTATTGTGAAGATTCAATAATTGTTGGATATTGTGGCTCGAATAAGGAATGCCACCCATTGTTAAAAGTATTGGAACACTTGATCCACAGTTGGTTTTGTTCCAGAAAGTTATGGAACTCTTAGGTGGGACCTTTCTGGAGGAAGTACATCAATATAAGCTGGCTTTGGTAGTTTATAGCCTCACCCTGCTTCCTCTTTTCCATTTGCTTCCCGTGTGCAGATGAGATGTAATCAGCCAATTTCCTGCTCCTGATACCATGCTTGCCTGCACCCATGCCTTCCCCACATGATGGACACTATTACCCTCAAACCATAAGGCAAAATATGTTCTTTCTTCCTGAAATTGTTTTTTATCATGACATTTTATCACAAAAGCAAAAAGATAACTAATAGACCTGGTCATAGTAAGTACTCAGTCAAATTGATTGCTTATGTTCTTTTTATCATTGTGGTTATTATTTCACTATCATCATCATTACCTTCTGTTCCAGGGAGTGGATTCTCATCTTGTAAAATACATGTACATTTGGTGTTATCCCACAGCATGTCAATAGGACACAGTTTCTTGGAATGAGAACATCTAGGAAAAGAAAATAATGAACCATATTTAAATTTTTTCAGGGTAAATCTACTTTGGGAATATTAAGTCATTCTTAATATTTAATATGTAATCATCTAAATATTCTGTGTGAAGTATGCTAGTGCTTTCAAATATTGTTTCTAAGAGTGATGCAGGACAACAAATGTACAGGCCAACAGACATGTATACATAGACACAATCATAAACAAAATAAAATATAGAACTTAATTTATATTTATAAATGCCATCTTATTAGATAATAATTCTGTAGTTATAAATATTCTATTTGGAAATCTTGAGAAAGTAAACTGGAATTTAGGAGAGTCACTGATTGCTCTAGAGTGAAGGGACACATGATAGCTTTGAGGCTGGTACAGTTTTACAGTGTATTCGACCACTCATATTAAGAACAACAGTGTTGGACCAATGCAGCAGCACATCTTTAATCCCCACACTCAAGAGGCAGAGTCAAGTAGATCTCTGCGGGTTGAGGCAGCCTGGTCCACATAGTAAGTTTCAGGCAAACCAGAGATACAAAGTGAGACCTTGTCACAAAAAAAGCAAAAACAAACAAACAAAAAAACCCCACAAACAAAAAAACCCACAAAGGTGTGTGCAAGTAAACATGCTAAACTTATAACCATCAAGGTTTGGGGTTCTACTGCAATATATACGTAGAACCTAATAAAAATATGTTTGTCAAATACTATGAATAGATCTGGTTTTGAAGCCAAAAGATGAAGAATTTTAATCAAGAGATGATAATTTTATTTGTATTTTTTCTGTTTGTTTCTTCAACATTTCTATTAATGTATATTGTGAAAAATAATGGGTTTCACCATGCTGTATTCAAACATGCATAAAATATACTTTCTTTAGCTTCTCCTGTACTTTTACCATCTCTTCTTCCCCTTTGGTCCCTCCTCTTCATCTGCTTCCTTTTCCCTAAAAATTTCCTTTCTACTTTCATGACATTTTGTTTCACAAGACAGAAAACACACAACACACATCTTTCTGGGGATGCCCCTAAAATGGGTAAAAGAATAAAGGAATGTACACAAAATTTTGTCAAAAGCAAGAACAGACATTATCCAGTCCAGGAAATGCTTACTGATCTCCTTCTGGAATCTGAATGGATCTTCTGATAATTGAGTAGGGATGTCGAGGGCCCGTAGGCAAGCACTTACAGCCTGTATGGTTGGCAATTTTAACAGGCACTAACTCAGGCACTGATGTCAGAGGCACTGATATCTCAAAGAGCTACAGCAAAGAGAGAGAACCATGATGTAAATTTTATTATAGACTTTTTCAGTTACCACAGTCTGTATTTTTGCCCTTGTCCTTTATGGTAATGATTTTAGCAAACTTATCCATGCAGAATGGAGTTAGTCCTTATAAGACACTTAGAATGCTGGGAGTCAGGAAACTGGGAGCTTCTCCAGCTTGGTAAAGTCTCTTAAGTGTTTTCCAAATCTGTTCTTTTCATCATCACCAGAGTTCTTGAAAATGGTGCCACTGGTCCCTGCTCTTGTTTGAAATCTGAGCATAAATTGTAAGAATAAACAAAATTAGATCCTTGGAGGTCCTTTGAGATTTGGGTGGATTGTTATCTAAACTATTTATTCATCCCTTCCCATATCTTTACTATTAATGACAGACAATTTCCTACCTTTTGACTTTGAGCTTGGCCGTGACACTTGCTTTGACCAATAATATATTAGCTGACATGACATAGTACAATTTGGGACTGTGCATGCTTTGTGTGATTTTTTATTTCCTGATTATGGCACAGTCATGAGAAGAATATAACCTGGAAGCCATACTGGTTCAAGGGATTGGGGGCACAGGAAACAGGCCTGGATTTTCACAGAACCTTGAAGTATATCTAACCTTAGATGCACAAGAAAAAATAATGTATCGTCATTTGAATTCCTTGAGTCTTAGGCCATTTAATATAAAAGCGTTGTACAGTTAAGATCATACCCAGGAAGATAATTATAGCCAATGAGTCTATTTCTATGTTTCTATATACCTGCTCCATTGTAAATACTTTATTTTAAATTTATTTATCACTTGTAAAAACATTATATTTGGGGGGCTGGAGAGATGACTCTGTGTTTAGGATCACTTGCTGCTCTTGCAGAAGCCCTGAGTTCAGTTCCCAGAACCCACATCAAGTGGCTTAGATAACTTTTGCTTCAGGGAATCTGGTGCCCTCTTCTGTCCCTCACAGGCACGGCACCTATTTGATAGACTGATTTAAATAAAATAGTTTTTAAAAATTACATTTTAATGATCTTTACATGATAGATGGATAAAGAGATGCCCAAAGGGTGTAAAAATGTGGTTCCATGAAGTTTAGATGAATTTGAGCTTGATTTTAAGGCATTTCCACTCAATCACCATTCCATGCAGTTCTATTTACTTTTTTCTAAGAGGTAGTTCATCACATAGCCTATACCTTTAAGGTAGGAACTGCCAAACTGCACAGTATGCCTATTTGGAAAGAAAAAAGTGCTTTGCACTTACACTTGAATAAATTCCTTAATATGAATCATTTGTTGAGTGCAGCAGTCAAAACAAAGCAATCAGCTATCCACTAAGTGGAAAGAATTCATTAAGGTTGTGTTTATTCAGACCTTTCAACATGTCATGAAACCTCCCTGAGAACAAGTAAGGCTGTTTTTCTGCATAAACTTCATGTTCTTGCACAATTCTTCAGCTATGCTCCACCGACTAGCATGCTCAGACATTGAACTCTCTTATATTCTGCAAACTTTGCTTTGCTAATTGTTGATTGTACCCATACTTACATCATTGTTTCTAATTATCAAATAGTAGGAGCCAGATATATTGAGTTCCAAAGTTCTCCAAAAGGGTTCAGACACAAAACTGCTACAATTTCAAGGGCAGTTTAGATGGTAGAGGGGAAACAAAATTAAGAAAACTTTAACCTATTAACAAAGCAAGTGTGTGTTTAGAACATTCCTTGGCATGGATGTATTTGGCACATATGAAATTATCTTTTACTACATGATCATGAGGAGACAAGCAACTGTGAAAAATGAGTTGTAGTAACATGTGAGGAATTCACAATAGAGGATCACCAGGAATGTGGCTTGATTTATAGCATTTTAATAATGTTTTCCTAAGTGGGTTCCTTCAGTTTCCGCATGAAACATTTACTTTGTTTTACAAGAAGATGGTAGCCATGGACACTTAGAGACAGGGCAAAGGTGACTTGATTGATTGATTTTATTTCCTTCGTGGGCACTAAAGGATTCTTTCAAACGTCTCTTGTGCTGCATATTCTCCCTTTGTTCTCCACTTTACCCCAGAGATCCTGTCCACCCTCTTCCCTATCAGGCTCTGTACCTGCTGTCACTGCCTCTGTAACTGACTCCTTTGACTCTTCCAGCATCTGCTTACAGTCCCACCATGCTAATGGCTGGCAGCTGCCAAGTGAGAAGTCATCTACCATTTCTGCTCAGTTCCCATGCCTGCTCCCTCCTTCAGCCTCTTCAGTTTTAGGGTGAGGGCAACTCCCCCTCTTAGCTTGTCCTTGTTGCATTCTTCCTTCTCTCTTCCTCCAATCCCATCTACACTGTTCATTCAACTTTACTTAATCATTCCATTTAAACTTCATACACCCAAATGCTACAAAAGACAGAACAGCTTCCTTCACTACTTTTAACACCCTGTTCTAGTAATGTCTGAATGTACCAATTCTTGATGTTACAGCACTAGGTAGATAGGAACTAATGAGGCTGTGACATGTTGGATATTATGTTGCCTCCCTGAGCCTCAATTTCCTTCTGAAAAGGAGGATAAGATATCCTGAGTTTGTTTGGGGAATTAAATGACGTTCACCACATAAAGTATTTAGCTCAGTGTTTGGTAACAAGGTCAGCAGCAGCGTCTTCATTTCTTGGTACCTGTTTGGAGATGTAGGAGGTGCTTGTGTTCATACACATCACACTCTCTTCGTTGCAACAGCCGCCACACCGGAACACATTCACACAGGGGGGCTTGAAGAACGTATTGGTTGTCTTCCCCAGCTCACTGGCGACTTCTACGCATGTCTCTCTAGGGATGCACTGGGTTCTCTGCCATTCCTCATCTATAACTGCAGGAATAAAGTTCATTTGAGGTCAGCAGACAAATATGGCCCAGAATCACAACATAGGTGTTTTCATGCCCTCCCACCCACCTTTTTGTGCTTGTTTATTTTACTAAGTGGGTATTTAAACATTTCTTTTAGAAATGTATTTATTTTATTTTATATGTATGGATGTTTGTTTGTATATATGTATGTGCAAAACACGTGTGGTTGGTGCCTTTGGAGGTTAGAAGAGGGCATTCGATCCCCTTTAGCAGAAATTACAGATAGCTGTGAGCTACCATGTGGTAACTGAGCCCAGATCCTATGCAAGGGTGACAAGTGGCCTTAACCACTGAACCATCTTTCCAACCCCTAGGTAGATATTTTTGTCTATCTTTTAGCCAAAAGTTTGCCTGCAAAAAACTTAAAACTGAAATCTCTATACTTTTCCATTGATACAACCACTTCATAAAATAGTTTATTTCCCATTGGCAGGGAGCGCTATGTCCTGCAAATAGCCACACTGGGGCCACCTGTAAAGGCTGTATAATAAGGAAGTCTATGGACTAAGGTGAAACATAATCTGTGAGTGTCATTTATCAAGCAATTTGCAGAGTACAACTGGATAACATTTCTTCTACTTGAAGCCAGGTAGAAATAGATTTTAAAAGCATAGAGAAATGGATTTCCATTGTCGGCTTATATAATTGCACTGAGATTTAAATCTGGCAAACACATGACCGGATATTTCAATGGAATTATTTTTAATCAAATCAGACTTTCCACATTTGGAACCATTCACTCGTTTACAGAAATTGATGAGATAAGCCCTTTAATTTTAATGGAAGGAGCTGCTCCCTGGCCATAGCTAATTTAAGGGAAACCAGAAAAAGAAAAATATACATCTCTGGCAATAAAAGGGAAATAAACAGGGTGTTGTGGAATAATCTTTTCATACACTGTGAAGATGTATCTTTGCCACGGCACCTGCTGATTGGTTTAATCAGCTGACTGTTCAATAGTCAGGCAGGAAGAGGTTAGGCAAGAATTCTGGGCAGAGACAGAGAAGAAGAGGAGATAAATTTAGGCATGCAAGAAATGCCAGAGGATATGGAGAAGAAGCAGGAGGTACAATATGAAAGAGAGGTAAGAAGTCAAGAAACAAAATGTAGATTAATATACATAGGTTAAGTCTTAAGAGCTAGGGGGACAAGCCTGAGCTATAGGCCAAGCTTCCATAATTAACAAGAAGTCTCTGCAATGTTATTTGGGGCTGGCAGTAGAAATGAAAGTCTTATCTACACATGGTGCTCCGTATCTGGCCCTGTATATCTACACAAGACCCGAGAAAGCTTATAAAATGAAACAAAAGATAAGAACATAGACTCAAATGCAGCTTTCTGGTGACCACCGTCTCTTGGATAGGCTTGGCAGTGTACCCAGACTTGACTATTGGCTGTTGACTGTGGACCAGAGTCAGCTACCAGTGCCATATACCAGCATGTGCTAAGATGACCTGCGTGGCAGCTGACATAGCAATTTAAGACTTGTGTCATACGGTCAGAGAATACTGTAGATGCTCAGTAAAGACAGATCCAGATGGAGAAAAAGACTCTAAATACATTACAGTGTGTCTAAAAATGTGCATAGGCTTGAAAAAGAAAAGAAAAAAATGGGTATAGTCAGTCATAGAAAAAGTGTTTACAAATAATAAGAAAAGTCTTTAAAGAGAGAATAAAGTAATATAAAAAGATAAGCCATGTAAAATGGAAAATACACGGAGAGTCTAGATCATATATGGTGCTTTATTGACTTTGATTTTTTTATTTCTGATGAGCAAAGGACAGATGCTGGGATTGTAAGAGGGACTACTGAATTAAGCCAGCCTAGTTACTTTAGGAATGCCTTAATTTTAAAATGGAAATGAAAAATGTATTGCTTTGGGGAAGAAAACAAAAGACTGGATTCATTCATGGTTGATAAAGGTCAGGTTTGATTGGGGGAGATCTCAAGAAAATCTTGGCAACAGACATATAGAAATAAAGCTAGAAAAACTAAAAGGCAGGTGATATAAATTTATCTTCTAAAACATAAGACAAAAAGTCATCTTTAGCTGGCTTGTGTACAATGCATAGCTCACACTTGTGTTTATCCAGATATGTATATTACCTTTGAAAGTTTGTGTGTGTTTTCAGAGTAAAACAATCAAACACCAATGAAAGTGGATGGATCGGGCTTCTCAAATTGCCTCTGATGCAGTTTCTTCAAGTTCTGCATCCAGAATTCCTTCAAGGCTGCTGGCTGTGATGGTCTAGCCTCACAGACTATTCTAGCCAGGAATACAGATAAGTTTTCCCATTACACGGATACTGAATAACAAATATTATGGCTAATTTTCCCATTATTTCAATTTTATCAGATTCTCTAAAGATGCCATTACCCTCAGACAAGGGAAATGGTCAAGAGAACAAGACATCCTCATTCCTAATAAGTGGGGTGGGTGGTTTTTGGTCATTTGATGGGTTATGGATGTTTGTCATAATTTGGAGGATTTGGCTACAAATTGTTGCTGGTAATGGTCAGGGAGAAACCTTAATGAAGGAAACTACAGGGATCTCTTTCTGAAGGAAAATGGGGATATAGTATGGAAATGATTGGACAAAAGAGTGGATTGTTGAGTCTACTTTTTAGCAACCACTAGTCTCAAATTGTATAGTGGAATGTATTCTTGTATATTGATACAAATTTAAGGTTATTTATGTTAGAACATACTGTACATGTGTTTCTACTCTTGTTTAAGATATTATACCTATACAATATTCAGCAATGTAATGTAAATTTCTAGTCCTTGAAAGTTATTATTACAAACTATTAAGGAAAATAAAAATGCAAGTTAGTAGTCAGTCTCCTATAACAATCATACTTGTAGTAATGTTTAATATATTTTCAAGGTCAAACAGATGTATTTTAAATAGATGGTCTTCAAACACTTCAAAGACCTACAGAATATGACATTTAAAATGCTTTAATAATATAAGGCTTTTAATGACAGAGAGGGTGACAAATGTCTCCTGGGTCTGGAGTTAAGGATGGCTGTGACTTCACCCTACTATGTCCTTTGCAAGAGCAGCATGTACTCTTAATCTCCAAGTCATTGGCCAGCATAACAGCCATTTTTGAGGCTACCTCCAACTGAGGGCAGCCTCTGGCCAGTAGCCAGTGAGGAAAGGGGCCTCTCACAGTTCAAGAGCCTGTGTGGAACTTAATTCTACAAGCAACCATTGAATGAACTTGAAAATACATCATGCCCCAGTTGAACACTGACATGCTTGGAGCCCAGATAAGAACCTTGACTCTAGCCTCCAGAGATACTTTGAATTAGAAACAAAAACTTGGCCATGCCTGTATTTCAGATCTCAAAAAATGTGAACTAAAAATAATCTGTTTTACAAGGGGAATGGCACCTGAAGAATGAAATCCTAGTTTGTCACTGGCCTGCACAACCACATGCACCCACACACACATGTACACTTGCACATGTACCCCTAGTCTGTTTGAGGCAGCCAATTGGGTTAATATAAAGTAACAGGCAAACATTTCTATACACTCTCTTTAAAAATATGCATTGATGGGTATGGTGGTTTGAAAGAAAATGGCCCCCAATAGGAGTGGCACTATTAGGAGGTGTGGCCTCATTGGGGTAGATATGGTCTTGTTGGAGGAAGTGTGACACTGTGCAGGTGGGCATTGAGGTCTCATAGATGTTCGAACCATGCCCAGTGAGACAGACCACTTCCAGTTACCTATGAGCCAAGATGTGAGAACTCTCAGCTCCTTCTCTAGCACCATGTCTGCCTGCATGCTGCCTTGTTCCTGTCATGAAGATAATCGACTAAATCTCTGAATTATATGTGAGACACCACAATTAAATGTTTCTCTTATAGAAGTTGTTGTGGTCTTGGTGTTTCTTCACAGCAATAGAAACCCTGACTAAGACAATGGTCCCAGAGAGATGGTTCATAAAAGTACCAGTTGCTCCTCCAGAGGATCCACAATTAGTTTTCAGCATCCATATGGAAGCTCACATCTCTAACTCTAGTTCCAGTGGATTTGATGCCTTCTTCTGGCCTCCATGGGTACTGTACACATGTGGTGCACAGATATACATGGTTCCAAAACACTCATATATACACAGAATATAAAATTAATATTTTAAAATTTCTGATGATAAAAATTTATGTAAAGCCTCTATAGGCTGGATGCACGAGACACAAATTATTTAATTAAGCATTACTAGGGGTACTATTTAAATTGCTACTATTAGTCATAAATTTTTGAAGGAGAGAGTAATTAACTTATGAAAATATCCTTTGCTTAAAATGCTACTCAAATGCTATTTTCTTTCTGCTTTTTCTCCTTAAAGTTCTAACTTTTAAAAGTTGGACAAGATTATAATCAAAATCTCATGTAGTTATTATCAAATGCCACCGACTAAGGTTTCATAAGGCCAATGTTCTTTACTACTACCCAGGGAATTACCCTGAAATCCATGACAGGGAGTAGATAGCAAAACATAATTGGTGTAACATGCATATTTGGTTATCTACTGCTTCTAACTTAGTGAATAACTTCAGCTATTCCTCCATAGAATTAGGAGGGAAACTGTGGAGGCTGCAAATTCTCTAATTTTTATGGTTTCCTCCTTAGGAAATGTCAACCTGGCTGACTTTTAAAAATTGCTGCCTTGTGGTTTTATGGTGAAATTGTCTTCACAGGTCATCTGTACATGTCCCTCAGGTACAAGTAATCTGGTCAAAGCCTATGGTCTTGGATGCAGCTGTTTTTGTGAAATCACCACATGAATGAACAACTAGATGCTCACTTAGACCCACAGTCCTATACATGAGCACAAAGATCCTTCTTCACACTTAAACTGCAGTAGACTTCCCCACCTACGTACAACTTTCCCCATAACTGGATCCTGTGCAATCCATTATTTAACACATGGGAATAAAACAAATCTAGATAGAAAGAAAAGAATAGTTTTTGCTTTAAGGATCAACTGAAATGAAACAGTGGATATACTCATGTGCTATGTGATCATATTTGTATCTACAAGGCTAAATCTAACAATGGCACTGGTTTCTTAAGTTGTTTTGATATTTCATCAGAGAACTAAAGGTCTAATCAATGCCACACAACTTTATTTAAAAATATTTCATTCATTAGGGGCACAATATGTATAAACAATAGTCTCTATCTCAATCTGGCTATCATTAAAGTGGCATAAGTAGACATTACACATCCATCTCCACCCCTACCCCAGGAATCAATGTGGAAATATACTGGGCCCTTGATATCTATGGTAGATTGGTCCCAAGATACCTTACAGATAGATACCCAAATCCTTGGATTACCAAGTTCTTTATATAATTGGACTAGAATTTCTAAATAGCCCATGTACATATTCCTGTACACTTGTAATCATGTTCAGATAACTTCTGGTAACAGATAAAATAGATATATGCCACATAAGTAGTTGTTATATCTTATTGTATGTCAAGAAAAGGTCTGCATATGCGCAGTACACACATACGTCCCTGAAATATTTGACCTGTGTGATTGGCTGTACCTATGGTGGTGGTGGTGGGAGGGGGCAGAACCTGAGGATACAGAAAGCTGACTGTATGCTATTTTCTAGTCCTAAGCTTTCATTATTTTGTGCCAAGAAATTTCTTTGTTATTCTCTAAGGAACCAGTACCCATTATTGCACCTCAGCTTTCAATTTCTGCCTTTTGCTTTTACATAAAAACCGCAGAATTTTGAAGGAAAAAGAAAGCTATAGCTAAATTCTTGGTTTCCCTCTCTATCTGCATAGTAATAACTCCTTGTTAATGAATACTGAAGTTGTTTTGCTTTTTAGTAAACCTGTTTTTCTTGTCCTTAAGATCAATCTTTCTGTATTGTTTTCCCCTCAAATTCCTGAGTTAAAGTTATTCTGATAATTTAAGTTCCTGTGTTGGATGTAGATATCAAAATCATACTGAATAGTCTTCCTTGTAGAGTAGACATTTAAAACCAAGAATTCTTGAGCTGACAAGATGGTTCACTGGGTAAAGGCACTTACTGGCAAGTCTGAAGACCTGTGTGTGATTCCTGAACCCTACAAGGTAAGAGAGAACTGACTTTTGCAAATACTGATTTGTTTAAATTTTTTATTCCATCTATTTAGTCATGGAGGGGCTCATGTTTGCCTATCTGAGAACCATTCTCAACTTTATTCAGTGAATCATCTTGCCATAAAATCAAAGACTCTCTTTTGTTCCCCCTCTGATACATAACCACTCTGTTCAAACTTTTGGAAGGAGCTGGTATATGTGTCACTATCCAATAAGGAAATAACCTGCCATTTTACTCACGCACTTACCTCTTAGTGTTTCAGTATCATAGAAAGTTGCCGCAAATCTGGTGGAGCGATGAGATGTTGAGCGAGAGTCCATACTGGCAAAACTTTTGAGCTTCAGCCGGCATCTCCACAGCTTCCAGTCCTCAGAGTGTGCGATTTGCAGCAGCTCCTCCAAACTAGAAGCAGCTCTAATCTGTTGTTCAGATCGTTCCAACATTGACTGGGATGATCGCTCAAAAGAAAAATCCTAGTTTAAGAGTGAGTTACAAAGATATCTTGATAACGGTGGTTGCTAACAATTTAAACTATAGACCACCTGAAAAGAAACTAGAGAAGAATATTCAAATGTGCACCTGTGCTTAGGCAAAGCAATGTCTAATGGTGAGCTTCAAAATGATAGGTCTACGTCCTTACTTCCAGAGGCTGTGCACATTGTCTTATTCAGGAAAAATGCATATATAGTGGAGGTAAAGTCCTTGTGATATTCATCACATGAGCCCAAAGTTCACTGACCAAGGTCCTTAGAAGCCAGGAGAAGACAGATAAGAGGGCCGTGTGAAGACAGAAGTGGAGATGAAGTGATGAGACCACACTCGGGAATTGTCTTGAGCCACCCGAAGTAGGCAAGGCAATGGGTCATGCCAAGAGAATTTGCCACCTTTATTTTTGGGATATTGTTGTTCTGAGACACCATATTTATAGTACTTTGCTACTGCAGCCAAAAAAAAGCAGTAGAGATTCGTTTATTATACTACTTTTGTGACAACAGCACCATTTCCTAGTTTAAGCTGAAGTCTTGATGTTTCTCTACAGTTGCTTCTGAATTATATTGGCTAATATGATGCAATTAGATTAGATGGGTATATACGTGGGAGGAGGCCCAAGAAAAGATTTTAGTATGTAACTTCTTGTTCAAAAGGAGGAGCTTGGTTATATGAAACAATGATACATACATACATATACTATGCAACCATCAAAGTCAGTGGAGTCCATTTCCTACTAGAGTATTTTCCCCCAGCACTGGATATCAGTCTTTGGCTCTTATGCATGATAGGTAGGTATTTTGCCAACTGAGCTATCTCCTTAGTTTGGGAGCTGATTCTTGATGGCTCTCTCTCTCTCTCAGAGTCACATCTATCACTCCTGCAGCCTCGACTTTATGGTTCAATAATTTATCAGCATTTAGCGTTTAGATTGTTTTTCATGTTTGTTTACTATTATTTTATTAACCATTCATAGTCTATGAACTAAAATAAGTCAAAATATGTATCTTCAAGGTCATGTCTTTTATTGTTATTGTTGTTTTGAGGCAAGGTCTCATGTAGCCAAGGTTGGCCTGGAAATTGTGATCCTCCTGCCTCAACTTCAAGAGTCCTGATCTCTCAGGCTTGTGTGATGATATCTGGTTAAATTCACGTTAGCCACTTTACCTAGAAGTCCAGATGGAAGTATACACATGAACACACATGTACATTTTTACCTGAGGTAGGAGAGTATTAAATATGTTTGTAAACTGGGGGAAAGAGCCAACACAGAAGAAAATGAAAGCGTATACAGGGGAGATAAAAGAAGGCACGATATACATCGTATTAGTTGGTCAGTATGAGAGATAAAAAGATCACCTTTTGAAACAGGTGAGCCTTCGGGAACCCCATGGTCTGTAGAGAGCAAGGCTGCCTCAGAAGCTCAGTGAGAGTATACTGGTGGTCTCTCACATGTCTCTGGAGTTTGAAACTAAGACATTTTTGGCAAGGAAGGAAAGAAAGCTTAAAGAGCACAGACGGGCTTTGTGAACTTGGTACTGAAATTGCATGGCATGCCACAGTTTCTTTTAGTTGAGAACCCTAGAGATAAAACTGCTTAATTGCTCATTTCCCTGACAACTCTTAAATGCGATGGTCCTACATTAAGGCTAATTTGTTAATGGCTTCTCTTTGCCTGACCATCTATTTCCTCTTTCTAGTTCTATGGTAAAGCTGCCTCATATCTGAGTCAATCTTCAAGATAAAATGTTTTGACAACACTGCTTCAATAAGCTAATGAGGAAGCCTAACAAATGCTTTTAAAGAAATTATTAAGTTGATCTTGGTAGGTTTTGTGTGTGTGTGTGTATGTGTGTGTGTGTCTATGTTCACATGTGCATGATCGTGCACACTGCTTGTGTGTATAACAATACTTACAGAAGAAGAGGTTGTGAATTTGAGAAGGAGCAGGAGAGAGACACAGGAGGAATGGGACAGGGAAAGGGAGGAGTGGATATAAGTACAAGTACTTGTGCATGAACCCCTCTAATATTTTTAATTAAAAAGGATTAAATTGCACAATGCTGAAAGAATTTTCATTTATGGAGGTAAATTTCATCCAATACCATCCCTAACTAAGGCTGATGTATGATTTCATCTTCGTACAAGTCTCAATTCAATTTTGGCTTCTTTAAAAATCCTATGATTAAAAAACAGGATAAAATATTAATCCTGCAGCCTGAATTAAAATGATTGAATGATGTTAAGATTGAATAGCTCCTATGACTGGTTTCTTTGTAAAACCACATTTACTTACATACTCAAAGCTGTTTAAGCATACTCTGCTAAATGAAAACCTAGTTTGAAATAACTGAGAAATTGACAACATTCATTTTTATAATTTGAAATGGAAATACAGCTCAACAAAAGCAAGTAATTTATCCAAGCACACATTTGAGAAGAGTTCAAAATGGACCCTTTTCCAACTGTCATTTGACACTCCTTGTTTTTTTTTGTAATCAACTTTATGTTATCTGCATGGGTAGGACAAAGTTAAACATCAAAAAATGTGACCATTGCCCCAAATGTATACTTAATCCCTTGATTTCGATAGTTTTCACTGTCACACTACTGCCAAACGAGCCGCTCTTTATCTCTTCCAATATTCTTTTTTATTATTGTTTTATTTAAAAATTTTTGTTTTTAGTTTTACATACTAACCCCAGTTCCCCCACCTTCCCTGTCTCCCACCCCCTGCCTTTCCCTTCTCAGAGGGGGATAAGGCCTTCTTTGGGGAGCCAACAAAGGCCATGTATTACTCATTTTGAGAAATCTCTATTCAGTTGCATAACCAGTTTTTAATTGGGCTTTTCTTTAAATATTCTAGATGTTAGGCTTCTGTAGTGTAGGATGCTGATGAAGGCTCTTCACTCAGTTAAGTTAACTTTGTTATACAAACACTTTTCAATATTGTAAGGTACCATATGTTAATAAACAAAGTAGAAGTACATCACTTTCTCCCTTTCATCCCCACAGACACTCCCATCAACCCTTCCTTGAGTCCCTCCGATGTTCTTCCCGAGTTGATAAACTATTTTTCTTTTTTCCATTTTTTCATTTTAGAAACAATCTTATTTTACATATCAATCTCTCCATTACCTTGCCCTCCCAACCTCCCATGCCCCCCCAAAAACCCCCAAACCACCCCCATCCACTCCCCAAGGATAGTGAGGCCCTCCACAGGGGACCATCAAAGTCCATCACATCATTTGGGGGAGAGCCTAGGCCCTCTTTTGTGTATCTGGGCTGCAATAGTATCCCTTCATAGGGAATGGCTCCCAAAATCCATTTGTGCACTAGGGATAAACACTGGCTCCATTGTTAGAGGTCCCATAGACTGCCCAGGCCTCCTAACTGGCTCCTACATTCAGAGGGCTTGGTTCAGTCCAATGCTGGTTCCCCAGCTTTACAACTAGGATATCTGCTCTCGCTAGATCAGGTCAACTGTTTCTGTAGGGTTCTCTAGCATGGTCTTGGCTCCTTTGCCCATCCCTCATCCCTCTCCACAACTGGATTTCAGGAGTATGGCTCAGTGTTTAGCTGTGGATGCCTGCTTCCGCTTCCATCAGCTACAGGATGAAGGCTCTAGGAATGGCAACCAAGGTAGTCATCAATCTCATTATAGGGGAAGGGCATCAAAGGCAGCCTCTCCATCACTGCCTAGATTCTTAGTTGGGGTCATCCCTGTGGATTCCCTGACATTTCTCCAGTGCCAGACCTCTTTCCAAAACTATACTGGCTCCCTATATCAAGCCATCTCCTTTCTGGTCCTCCTCTATTCCTCCCCTGTCTCAATTCTCCTGATACCTCCTGTTCTTCTGCCCCCTGCCCTTCTCCCCCTCTCCCTTGCCACCTCCCTTCTCTTCCCCTCTCCCCATGCTCTCAATTTGCTCAGGGGTTCTTGTCCTTCTCCCCTTCTTCAGGGGACCATGCGATCTTCTCTTGGGGTCATCCTTGTTTTCTGGTTTCTCTGGTGGTGTGGATTGTAGGCTGGTAGTCCTTTGCTCTATGTCTAATATCCATATATGAGTGAGTACATACCCTGCTTGTCTTTCTGTGATTGGGTTACCTCACTAGGGATGTTTTCTTCCAGTTCCATCCATGTGCCTGTGAATTTCATGATTTCATTTTTGTTTCCACTGAGTAGTACTCCATTGTGTAAATGCACCACATTTTTTCCACCCATTCTTCAGTTAAGGGGTATCTAGGTTGTTTCCAGGTTCTGGCTATTACAAACAACGTTGCTGTGAACATAGTTGAACATATGTCCTTGCATGATTGGGTGTTCTTTGTGCATATGCTCAAGAGTGGAATTGCTGGGTCTTGGTGCAGCCTGATTCCCATTTTCCTGAGAAACCACCATACTGATTTCCAAAGTGGTCATACAAGTTTGCATTCGCACCATCAATGGAGGAGTGTTCCTCCTTCTACAAATCCTCTCCAGCATAAACTGTCACTGGTATTTTTGATTTTGGTTATTCTTGCCCGTGTATGATGGTATCTCAGAGTTGTTTTGATTTTCATTTCCCTGATGGCTAAGGATTTGAGCACTTTCTTAAGTGTCTTTCAGCCATTTTGGATTCCTCTATTGAGAATTCTCTATTTAGTTCTGTACCCCACTTTTTAATTGAATTGGTATTTTGGTGACTAACTTCTTGAGTTCATTGTATATTTTGGAAATCAGCCCTTTGTCACATGTGGAATTGGTGAATATCTTTTCCTGTTCTGTGGGCTGTCATTTTGTCTTGTTGACTGTGTCCTTTGCCTTACAAAAGCTTCTCAGTTTCAGGAGGTCCCATTTATTAATTGTCGATCTCAGTGTCTGTGCTACTGATGCCATGTTCAGGAAGCAGTCTCCTGTACCAATTTGTTCAAGGGTACCTCCCATTTTTTCTTCTAAGAGGTTCAGTGTGGCTGGATTGATGTTGAGGTCTTTGATCCATTT